GGGGGGGGACCCATCTATCATTGGGATGGATGCTAAGCTTTGGTTTGCGCCCAACAATTGTGTATTGAAACCTGCAGCAAACACCGCCTCCCTGCATGGGACTGCTCCACTGTTGTTGTTGTCCCCCCCCCCCCCCCCCTCCCCAAAAAGGCGCTATGGTTGATTTTTGATGAAACCTTCGTTTGAGGATGGAAATGAATGTGGGTGAAGAAGAGCTGCAGGGCTGGTGCCCAGCTGTACTATAACAGAGAGAATAAAGCTGCGTGTGTGTGTGTGTGTGTGTGTGTGGGGGGGGGGGGGTATCTTACCTTCCACCGCGGACACCACAGACAGCAAGAAGCTGCATAAAAGCAGAAAGTAATCCATTGTCATAAAGCGGTCAGGTCGGACATGTAAATAACCTCACGACTGGGATGGTGAGAGGAGACGAGGGGGAGGTGGACTGGGGGAGGTGGGGGGGGAACTCGATCCTGGGTGATCCAACGCACCCGGGTCGGGTCCCAGTCCCAGTTGGTGTCAAGCCTCCAGGTGCAGACTATTCTCCATTCAGCAGCACGGTGAGAGTCCAGAGAGGGGGGTGGGGGGGTGGGAGGAAAATAATAAGTGACCCCCCTCAGAGTGATCTCCAAAAGAAGCGTCCAGGTTTAAACCAGAGAGAAGGAGAAGGGGGAGTCTTCCAGTCCGCTCCGCGCGCGCAGAGCTGAGGAGGACGGGGTGCAGGTAGTCCAGACAGTGGTCCAGGTCAGCATCCAGACACAGATCCAGGGGGGGTTCGGCTCATCCCGCACAGACCCACAACACTTTCTGTGGCTGCTCCTGTCAGAACCATGGCGTTAAGAGTCCCGCACACACTGTGGCATGTGCGTGCTCACGTGCGTCCCCCCAATCAAGTGGTATTCCTGCATGTGTGTTGATAAAAAAAGAGCCAAATGAGAATAAGAAAACCAGCTGGCAGCCGCGCGCGCAGGTCGGAGATGTTTTAATCCCTGAGCGAGTTGGTTCGAATCCGGCTGCTCCGGGAAGCGACTGCTCCGCTCGGCTCGTGCACAGGAATGAAGCTCCAGGACCGAGGAGGCATAAGGAGAGAGGGAGGGGGGAGAGAGGAGGGAGGGGAGGGGGGCAGAGAGGAGGGGTTTTACAGTGCAAGCAGCTGCGCTCAGCAATGGCTACCTTGGTAATCACTTGATTTTACATTTATTCATCAAAATCAAACATTATTTCCCTTAAAATAGTTTTATTTTAATTTATTAAACTGCTTCCTCACTTCACCTACAGAGCAAAAAAAAAAAAAAAAAAAAAACGATCTTATGAAACCAAATTAGAACGTTATATCACGTAAACCAGATCTCCTTACATGCATTTATTATTATTATTATTATTATTATTTTATTCTTTTGTGTGTTTTTAAGAGTATTATTTTCTTATTTGTTCGCAGCGGGTTGTGTTTGGGAGATCAAGTCCCTGCGAAGTAATGGACACACAGCGCCCCCTTGCGGAGGGTTTCCGCTTCCATGAAGCCAAAATGAAAGTTCCTACTTAGTTTTTGATCAATTAAAACGTTTTTTTTTTTTTTTATTATTCTTAGTTTTAATGCTTCAAAGCTTTCAAAATCACACAAAAAAAAGAGCACAAGTCTGTTTTGTTCTGAGGTCAGGGGGAGTACCGGGGTGACAGCAGCATCTACCTTAAGTTGGATCACATCCAGTGCTTTTGTTTTTATTTTTGTATGTGATTTATTTTATGTTTTTGGTGAAAAAAGGGGCAGAGAAAACAAAAATCCCTGAGGTGTTTTCCAGATTGAGCTGAACACAGACCAGCACACTTCTGTGTCTTTTGGACATTTAGCTCACAGTCCAAGAATAAAACTGATAGGACTCCCGTGTTGGAGTTGAAAAAGGTGGAACATGTCTCAACACTACATATTGTATCCGTTCTTATTTATAGGCCATGAGCTTATCAAATTGTTGTGCTAATTTTATTAAAAAAATGTTTGCAGGGTTTAATTAACACAAAAGTGTGAAAAAAATAGGAGAAGTCACTAAACAGCATTAATTAGAGAGCAATGCTTTTTGTGCAATGGTCCTTTAGTTGCAGTGTTGGCGTTTACAGCCTGGTGCTTTTAGTGAAAGGGAGTAAGGAAGCAGAAAGTTTTGTAATCCGAGGCGCAATTATGAACATACTGGCAAAACAACAGCCTTGTAATGACTTCTACTGTGATCGAGTTTGTGTTTGATTCAGTTATTTAAGTTAAATTAAAATACACTGCTCAAGGAGTTTTACAGATGTGAGGCTGAACTTGGAAAAGTCCGAGTTTATACAGTTACAAAGTTGATTTGACTTTTATAAATAATGTTGAATGTGTCCATGGTTCAATAGACAAAGCACCATGTCATTAAACATCTAATATAGATAAAAGTCTAGATTATTTAATTCTTTGCTAAAGTACAAAACATGTTTTGTTTCCCTGCTCTTCTGAATGGTGCTTTAAATGTTAATGTACGGCAAAACCACAGTTCTGTTGAAAAAGAGCTTGACAAGGAGATCTAAGCCATCACCAGATGTCTGATGGCTCTTATGTAGTCTCTTCAGAAGTTTTGCAATAAAGATAAAATAAATGAATAAATCACCTTGCCATTTTATTTATTTATTTATAAGCTTTTTTTAGATTTATTCAACAATTTGTCATTAGTAAAGCTGTTGTTTTGGATAGCTTAAAATTATGGGTAATAAAAAAAAAAAAGCTTACACCTGTAAGAGTTTAGAATTTTATCAGAATTAGTTCATAAAATAATTAAAATTTAACTAAGCTCAAAATAATGTATTGTAAAAATATTTTGTAATGATTATATTTTTCAAAAAAATTGTTTTTTTATAATAATTATGTGGAGCTCGTGTGAATATGGTGTGTGTGTGTGTGTGTGTGAGTGATCAATTTATTTAAATAGCTTTACTAAAGCTGTTTATATTCTGAATTAACGTTACATTGTTGTGTTATTGTTTTGAGAAATGTGGCTCAATCACTGGAGTATTGGAAATATGGAGGAGGACGATGAGGAGGAGGTTACATGTTCTTATGTGTATAAGGAATCTTGATTTTTTATTTTATTTTATGTTAATGTATTAGTTATAAGTTCACTTGTCTCCAAGGCAGTCTAATTTGTTTGTCTTAGAATTTAATGCCAACAGAATTCACAAAGACAGCAGTGTCATAAAAAATAAAGAAAGAAACCAAATCACTGAATATGGCACATAATTAAATAAATGTTGTTACAACTTAAAATTATATACACATATACAT